TCTGGGGAGGGATCTCAAGACTGCATTGTAAGTGGCACTTACAGTGTCGTAGACCACCTCCTCTGTTTAGTGATAGTTGTTCCAGTTTGATGAAGATGGCTTCTTTTAGTCCTCTCACAAACCCACAGTCTTGTCTGGCCAAAATATGCACATTGCTGTCCTCAAATGAGTGTCCCTTGTCCTTTAGGTGTAGGCGGACTGCTGAGTCCTGACCTGAGGACTTGGCTCTCCTGTGTTGTGCCATGCACTTGCGCAGTGGTTGTTTTGTTTCCCGAATGTACCGGTCTGTGCACTCTTCACTGCATTGGACTGTGCACATTACATTGCTCTGCTTATGACTGGGTGTTTTATCCTTAGGGTGGACAAGCGTCTGCCTCAGAGTGTTACTGAGTTTGAAGTGCACAGGGATTTAGTGTCTGTTAAAGATCTTCCTGAGTTTTTCAGATACTCCAGCACCGTAAAGATGTTGTTGCGTTTGTTGCTTTTTTCTTCTTTGTCCTGTATCTTTTTGCTGTTTTTGACAAAGACACAGTTTGGGTAAATGCTTCCCTGATGTGTTTTTGTTCCTTCTCCTTCCCCTGTGTCCTTGTGGGCATGTTCTGAGCCCGGTGGTGTAGGGTTCTGATAACCCCCAGCTTGTGCTTCAGTGGGTGGTGAGAATCAAAGAGTAAATATTGATCTGTGTGTGTGGGCTTTCTGTATACTTCAATGTTGAGGCTTCTGTCATCTTCAGTGTGAACAGCACAGTCCAAGAAGGCCAGACTATTTCCTCCGACATCCTCCTGACTGAAGTTGATGCTGCTGTCCACTGCATTGATGTGCTCTGTGAAGGCTTCCACTTCCTGTGTTTTGATTTTGACCCAGGTGTCATCCACATACCTAAACCAGTTGCTGGGAGCTGTTCCTGTGATGGAGATCAAGGCTCTGCTCTCTACTTGTTTCATATATATTAGCCACTATTGGAGACAATGGTGAGCCCGTAGCACAGCCATGATTCTGTCTATAGAAACCCCCCCTCATTTTATTTGGAAATAGGTGGTAGTGAGGCAGAGGTCAAACAGGGCATGGTCTGGGGTGAGGTTGGTTCTGTTGGACAAAGTGCTGGCATGTAGCAGTCGTTTCATTTACGGTCTTTACTGCCTCCGGGGTGGGGATGCATGTGAAGAGTGTAATATAGTGGTGGGTCAATGGCTTAGTCCTTTTTTCAGTTGTTGTGGACAGTTAACGTCTTTCCTCTCATAGCTGCTGGTAGGATCTCACCAGTGTCTCATAGGTGGCCGTGTTGTTGAGTAGACTGGTCACCTTGGCATGATAATCAGCTGTGTTTAGGACCACGATGCATCTTCATTTATCAGTTAGCAAGATGGTGATGTTCCAGTCTCTTTGGAGCGATGTCAGTGCCTTCCTTTCCTGGATGGAAGACAGTGCTTTAGCACCATCTAAGACAGGAAGCCAATGTTTCCCACAAATCTGAAATATAGTTGTGGGTGGGTGATTAGTGATATAGTGCCTTGGTGTTACCAACAACAAATGCATGTTAACATTAACAGAACATTTGCATTCATTTAGTATTCTTCAGTGACATATTGCTCATACCACAATGCGACCTGCTGCTTCTGCCTCTCCCTCGGCTGTCTCATCACCTGTGCCAGTCAGCTTCACTGTCCAAGTCTGGAATTGAGAACTGACTTGTCTGCTCAGTTTCCACTGTGCCCACGTCTTCTAACATAATACCATGCATCTCCCTCTTTCCCTCTTTCCCTCTTTCTCTTTGTCTTTGAGCATTAGCAGAAAGAAACAGTACAGGGGAGCGAGTAGAGAATAGTTAATAGATTGCAGATAGCGTCATTCTGAGGGATTAAAAATTATGCAAACAAAATGTCAAAATGAGATGAAAACTAAAGACATGCATCCAAAAGTTGTTCTTCCTGCTGTAAGAAGGCCACAAATAATGAACCTTTTTTTTATATGTTAGCTAAAACTCAGATGAACATGTTCTCTTTAATATGGTTGAAGATACCCCCCTTCGATTACCTCTTCCCTCAGTGTGAAGCCTCAGCCTACGGGCTTCTACTAGCCATGACCACAATGCTGCTGCACTACTGGCTGCGTGCCTAGCTCCAAGAGACAGGAGACAATAATTGGAGGGCAGTGAGAGAAGGGGCAACAGACCACCTGCTGCTTGTGCAGTTTTTTTCCCAGTGTTTAAGTGTTTCACAGATACACGCATTTAGAAATACAATAAAGCATGCTTTGAGTTTGATTTTAGACTTCTACTCATTGTTAATATATTCAGGCAGCCTTCCAAAACTCTATTTGCACAGACACATGTTTGCCAACTGGTGTGTTTGTTATTGTCACCCCCCACCTTCCAAATCTAATCTGTGAGAATCTGCAAAAATAATAGTAGAAGAAATGAGATTAGACAAAAAGGGAATAAATGATACAAACAGAAAAGAGTAAGAAAGCCTTTTTGAGATAGAAATGTTCAGCAAGACAAAACGAGAATCAATCTGATGAACAGCAGAAGGCTTTCCTGCCTCTTTGGTTGATGTAATCCATTTCTCATGTGTCCTCTGCACCTGCTTCACTCAGTGGACAATGCTGTTGAAGAGCTGTCCCCTGTGACTGAGCTTTGAGTGGCTGTCTGGACATGTGGTCTTAGAGAGAAGGGTTCTGACATGATCGCAGGCATATTTTGGGCGAGACAGAACAAGAAGCCGTGTTTACTCGCTGTGTACTGATAGAAGCCTTGTTTCAGCTGTTGTTCAGACGTGGGAAGAGAGAAGGAGAAGCTAGAGTAGTGAGTTGCAGCCTTCGGCTCATGGTTTCTTACATTAGACTGTCTAGACATTGTAATCCCAGATAGGGAAGGTTGCAGGTGCCATAAAGGAGGAAGGAAGTGAGGATGAGAGGCGAGTATGGGATACAGTTATCTATGGCTCATGTTCTCATCTTCTCATGAACTGCTTTAGAGTTTAATAAGAGATCAAACACAGGAGTGCCCTGACAAGACAGAAGGCTAGCACTATAATAGTGTATGGGTGGTACATTACACTGCCCTCTTCATGTGACAGAAAAATATTTAATATCCTCACCGGAGAATATAATATATAATTTTCTGCATTGATGTCTCTCTGATTACATCTCTGTCTGTTGTTTCTTGAGTAACTTAGCCTCGCTACATCTCCTACATTCCAATTGCATCTAATGTTCAGTTTTGAAGGACCTGGGTAAGGACATTTTGTATATTTCAAGCCCATTTGCTGCATATTAGCCACAGTCTCCAAACATTACTTTTGTGTAGAGTGCAAGGATGCTCTGAAGAGTTAGGCTTGAGTTTCACTCAGTCCCCACTCATACAGTATATCCCAGTAGGCTTTTATATGAACTCTCTTTAATGTCTCTGCCTAATTAGTGAAACTTAATACAGACATATTTCTTTCAGAGAGGATGTTGGTTTTTCTCAGGAAAATGAGGAGTGCTATCTGGATAGTGAGAAACATTATTAGATAGATGAATCTAGTACAAATAGCTGTTTTGGGTCATTTCATGTTCTGTTTGTGGAAAACTGTTATTTCTGTAAAAGCAATCAAGCCCTGTTTTCTATGGTACTGTATATGGCCTGACTGTGTGTGTCAGTATTAATTAAAAGAAATATTATATTTACATGGTATCTATGAAGATTCACATATTAATTTGAAATACTCATTCAGAGGTATACACATAATTTGAAACCCACATACAAATATTTTTTTAATGAAAAAACTATATAGAGCTATTGAAATAAAAATGACTTAACTGTATATACTCAGTAAGGACTCTATGAGGAACACCATACTCATACTGGGTACGTTCTCCCTTTGCTCTCAAAACAGCCTCAGTTCTTCATGGCATTGATTTCATAAGATGTTGGAAATATTTATTTGAGATTTTGCTCCATGATGTTGACACCACATAATTTCTGAAGATTTCTCAGCTGCACATTCATGCTGCCAATCTCCCATTCTAGTACATCCCAAAGGTGTTCTATTAGATTCTGATCCAGTGACTGAGGAGGCCAAGTACACTGAAGTAGCAAGTTTGTAATTTGAAGAAAATGGGCAAAACATGCAATGAACCTGGCCTCTTTGGAGGGAAGAAACCTTTCAGTTCTCCCTTAAGCCATTCCCCTAAAACATATTTTACAGTAGGACGGTGAAGTCACGTTATAAGTACTGCATAGGGTGTTTGTGGTTGTTCTTATATGTCTTCGGTTCATCTCATCTCAGTGTAAACACAAAAATATATAAAGAAGAGGATGGGGTGAAGGCAGATGACTTCATGGTTTAGAGCTGTGTCCACCTGCCAGAGTTAACTGAAGAAATATCAGAAATAGAGTGATTTTGCCTTCACATTAAAAGCTAAAAGCATAGAAGGCCTATTTGTCACTCAGGGGAAAAAAGCATGGTGCCATTAAATGCCACAACAAAATCAATACTTCCAGACAGAACAGTACAGTTTAAACATTTATGGATATGAATGCACTGCATCTGCAAAAGAGGCTGACAATTTTAATGTTATGTGTCTGCAGATTACTCCTGAAATTTATGTAATTCTAGCAGTTAATTGCCTACAAATAAATTCAGCTACAATCTCTATTGAGAACAATGTGTCTCACCCCCTCCACAGTAAATGCACACCACACCATCATTTGGCTTTTTCTTTTCACATACAGCTGTAGAGAACAATCCCTCAAGAGTTTTATCCTTTTGTTGTTTTGACCTATAATTAATGGAGACTAATGTTGAAATGCACCAGTGTTACACCAGACACTATGATACAGTCTCTATAAGTAGTCACTCTATACCTCTCACTGTATGTGTGTGTTTGCATGTCTGCGAGTTTGACCAGCATATGCCATCATGTACTTTGTTCCTATTTCATTATGTAATTATGATTGAAAACAGCTGCTTTAATGAACAGTATACTAAAGTCTTCTCACTTCTCATTGTCTACAGTGAAGTTTGATGACTGCATGGGCAACAAAGCGGTGGTTTTCCAGAGCAGTAACCCCATCTTCAGCGTGCAGACAGATGGGTCCATCTTTGCCCAGGGAGAGGGAGCCAGCCTAGATGAACCAGTCCAGTTTAAACTGACAGCAAGTGGTCCACACACACATGTCTGGGAGACTGTGGTCCAATTGTCACTGACTGACCTACCATCACCTCAACAAAATGAAAATGAGGTGAGTGATATACTTACTGAGCACGAGCACAGACACACAGATATCATGCTTCAAATTCCAATTATCATTCCAGAGTTTCTTCCTCCTATCATATTTTCTCCAGTGGTCTGGTGATAGTAACAGCCACGAATCAGGTCAAAACTCCTTGGGGTTTTAGAGAGAGAGAGAGAGAGAAGGAGAGCGGGAGAGAGAGAGCAGAAAGAAGTAGCAGTAACACATAGTTAAAAGTGATAGAATCACATTGCCACAGGGGGAGAATACGATTCCCCTCAGCCATAAGCTGTTATTGGAAAACATCCTGTGCCTTGGATACCCCAGGGGTCCTCGACTCTCCCTCATCTATGTAAAAGCTGTCAGTGGTCAGACGAGGACTCAGCAGCAAGAGCTCAACCTTCCCCATGATGACAGCACCATGCAAGTTTAGTTCTGATAGTCAATATCAGCACAAGTGTTAATCAGATTAGATAATGACAACACATATGATTAGAGGACCGTGTTCATTAACACAGTGCAATTTTCGACAGCTCATAAAGGATGTGGGCCTGTACATTCCTCACAAGATCAAATCTAGCTGAGACAGACGTATCACTTATGAGACATAATGGCTGACAAGGATCCACTAAGTCCTGTTGGGTAAATTAGATTTTTTTGGTAGCAGCCAGCGGTCATAGAAACCCAATAGAATTTTGTTGCAGATTAAAACTGTGTTTGAAACTGAAAAAACTTTAAAACATTAACACTTAAAGCAATTAGAATCAATATATTTATGACAATGGATCAAATGGCTATTTGAAATGTGAAAAATGTGGCTTGCAGTCACAAACCCACAAACCCCTACTCTGCGACCTTTATAGCTTTTTTGTGGCTCACGACTTAATGTTACGCTTAAGTCTCACCGCTCTCATGGTGTTATTTTTGGCTGCAGCAGCTTTAAAAATCCACTGTACATTACATGGCTAGCACCAGCAGACAAAGTTTGCAGCCAGTAGCTGAACATAGTGGAGCATTTAGCAGCTAAAGAGCCAGATATTTCCCTCAGGAGTTGGAGGAGACCAAAAGAGAGCAAAAAGAATATTGAATATTGGACTTAAATTTCACAGGGCGAAGCATGACTCCAAAAGCATGCTAATGTTGCTCTGTCCTGTGTGTCTGCTCGGTCTGTAAATAATAACTGTGAGGTACCAATATTACTGTATCAATGTTGTGTTTACAGCTTGTTTTGGCTGACTCCAAGTGGCTAAAAATGTTAGTAGTTAGTGTATCTATAAATTTAATTTTAGTTTTTCCAAAAGTAAGTGATAGCAGAGAATTAAGAGGCAAATTCTGCAACTTAATAAAGCCTTAATTACCTTAATTTGCTTTACCACTCATGGTTCATGGTGATGGTTGGCTGCTTCCCACACTAGCCCAGAATGCTAAACCAGTCACTGTTGCAGGTGAATGTGTGAAATGTAAACGGAGAGATCTTGACAGCCTTTTAGATGTACTTCAGAAGCCATTTTGATCTTCCCTGCCATCAAATGGTGAGACCTTAGTTGAGACCTGAGTTATTCATAACTGACTGTGAACTTAAGATTTAGGTGTAAGCAAAATATGAAAATAAAATGAATACAAAACTTCTCTGATGCTAATCCAGGTCTGTTTGAATGATTGAAGGATTGACTTACTTAGAGTTAGTTGGTTGAGTATTTAGATTTTGAGACTTAAGAGTATTTAAATCCAGAAAATAACTAGTTTTCAGCTGAATTTTCTTTGTGGTGTGCATGGCCAGAAAACAAGAGATGGCACAAACTTACAGAATCATAGAGACAAATAGAAATTTGCAGTGGGACATCAGCCAACAAAGGATCTATTAGTGGGAGTGGGTATAAGGGGGAGTATGTTGTCTCTAAATAGCTTTGCCTTCATTCTCACACTTGTGTAATTCAGGTTGCTTCAAATGATTCACTGGTTAGTATGGTATGAACTTTGGTATTAAATTACAGTGTGTTATGGGTCAAATGACTGACTGTTCTACTAGTTTTTCCAGTGAGTCAACTAATATGGAGATCATGAGGAGCCATGAAGAGACAGGCAAACAATGAGTGAGCTAGACAGGGTCAGAGGTCAGAAACACGCTACGCACTGGAACAAACATGTATGCAGTGAGAGCAGGAGCAGAGAGCAGGGCGCTGAAACAAAATGTGATGTTTCATTATGGAAATGGCGCTTTGTGGCGTGCTCTGTTGAATAATAACTTCCAGATGTCTGGGTAGCCAGGGGCTGGCTGATATCAAAGCGTGCAGGGTTTTGGGGAAGCAGTGGCATGGAGGGGAAGAACTGGGACCACCGCCAGCTGGCTAAGGCTGATGGCACCAGGGCTGGGGGGCCGCATCCATTTCACACTCAGTGACTCCTGTTCACATAGTGTTAGTGTGCTTAAGCGTGTGTGTCTGGTGTGTGTTCGAGAATGTTATTTGTCTTTTTGTGAGAGATTATGTCGGATCAAGTGTGAATTATGCTAATTTTGCGTAAAATTTTCATTTTTGTCTATGGTCTGTGTGTGGTTGTGTCTTTGTTTAGGGCATAAAGTGTCTTGTGTTTGGAGCATATCGGTTTAATCTGTGCAGGGTTGCTTGTCAAAAAGTGTGTGCCCTCTTTGTGTGGGATTATGGGAAATAAGACAATCTTTAAATCTCTGGAATCTGTGAACTTGTAAAAATTATAATATCCGACTCCGGTTAGCTTGTGCTCCTCATCCTCCATCTTTTATAATAATTTGAATAAGTGCGCAGACATCTCAGCTTAACCTGTTTTATAATCAATTTCATCACCTTCCTGTACTTTCCCTCTTTCTGTGTGAGTGTGAATAAGAAAGAGCGAATTGGAGCTGCAGGGTTTGATCAGACTTACACCATGGCTAGAGAAAAGCCCACTTAAGCCTTTTGCAGCAGTGATGGGCACAGCTCTTTCTCCATCTTTCTGTCTTTTTGTCTGTTTTTTTTTCCCTTCATCCTTTTCTCTCTACATCTCTCCTCGGGGAACTCACTAGTACCTGTTAGCATGTGTAGATAAAAGGATCTGGAGCATGACTTATTTAGGCAGGGGGGGCACATCTGCTTCTGACAACCCTTCTCCTCACCCCCCTCACTGCATCCCAAACATGTCTCGCTCCACCTCTGCCTCCCCTCACCACACTGGTGGGATGTGGGGCAGCCATCCCCTGCAGTCAACCCCACTAAGCCTCCCTCTCTCTGAAGAAAAAGAATACATTTGTCCAGACCCTGCTCGCATCTGTCTCCTCCCGCTCTGCTGACAAACCCTGTTTGCGCACACAGGCATGTTGCGCTTGGCAGAGGTTGGTCTCTTGAATATGGACCGAATGCAAAGGATCATGTGCATGTTTCAGTGACCTTGTCACATAGTACAATGAACATGCAGTATGGCAACATGTGTGTTGCTAGATAGTCTGTTGTACAGACTAGTAACACAGTACAAGAGGAGAACTGTAGAGTGATGGTGCTTTTTGGGCCGTGAGCATGAGAACAAGCTGCTCAGGCTCATAAGTTTTTCTCTGTTTCAGGGGTTATAGATCCCCAAGTAGTCAAAAGAGAATGTGCTGCTTTCCCTCAACCAGTAACTGAAGAAAGCATGTTGTATTTTACCCTGGACATTAGCCCTTATTAATCATAATAATCTATAATACACATTTGATTAAATTTTACTAAAAGATTTCATTTCTCTGTTCTGTCTTTGAATGTTTTTTGCATTTTATGTAAAGTACTTTTCAGCTGCTTTTAATATGAAGTGTGTGCTAAATTTATTAACTGTAACTTTTCATATAGTTGACTGATTCATTCTTGTAATTGGAAACAGCCGTTGACAAAACAGTTCAACCTCAAGTGCCATGTGTAGCTGTCTGCAAGGTTTTGATTGTATCACATGATCAGCAGAAGTTCAAATTTCCATTTTTCTGTGCAGTTTTTGGCCCAGATCAGACAGAGCGCTTGTTGCATGTTGCAAGAGGTGAGGTCCATGGCGCTGCCTTTTTTGTTGAAGCCTACAATAAAAAAAAAAGAGCAGTGCTGTGTGTTTTTTTATTGTTGCTAGGCAACCAACAAATCACCTGTCCTTAGCCTGACTGTGATTTGTTGAGAAGTGAACTAACAGATCACCACCAGTTGGTGCAGGAGCTTCACCCGGATGATGGTCAGTTCAAGGCTTATTTTAGGACGAGTCAGGTACAGTTTGACAATCTGCTGTTAATCATTGGGGCTAGCATCACAAAAATGACCACTGACTACACAGGGCCCATTGGTCCTGTGGAGTGGCTGAGCATGAGCACCACAGGAATTGTGGGACAGCATTATCTCCTTTGCTTTCGTAAAGGAAAGTCCAGTGTTTCCTATGCTAAAGGAGATAAGATAGGAGGCATTGAAGCTCCTTTCCTTATCATTTAGAGAATTCGACCAGATCTCATCATGGCTGCTAACTCAGTTAGGAACCTTCCTAAGTAAAAAAGACTTTTTGACTGCAGCCTCAGAATCAGGAGTTTGTTGAGTGGTGAGGAGAGTTTGTTGTGCAGCAAAATTGGCGTCAAGAAGACGTAACAGAATGGTAAGTGTAGTTATTTGTTTATGTTGTTTGTTAGCTTGAAACTGGCAGTGGCTGACAAAGTGTTTGGTTCCTTAGGTATATGATGTATGAAACCCTGGCTGTCTGAATCCATTTTTAAGAGACTGTCATTGGTTCACAGCAGTTCCAAGGTGGCGTTGACTGCATGGCGTTGACTGTACAGTATATTTCGCTCATGATATCTCTTGTATTATATAAAAAACACCATATGGATGTGTTAACAAGGTTAAAAACTTAATTTTGGAGTCTTTAAAAGGTGCTAAAATGTCATTGTGATGTTTACAGCTTCTTTCCACTGCCCTGCTTGACAAACAAATTCTCTCCTACTAGTGCACATACCTTTACCTGTGAGTGTAACCACCTCTCCTGATTTCTGGACTGGGTTA